TTACCTGGCATTAATTTTTCTTCTGCCAGAAAGATTTCTTTGTAATTTTACTTACAGAACAGATCTACTCATAATGAATTTTCTCTTTGAAAAATGTCTATATACTCCTTCCCTCCCCCCCCCTCACTGGGGCTGGGCTCTGCCCCTGAACTTCTTTTACTCAAGACTAATACTCTGCCACTTGAGCCACAGCCCCACTTCTGGCCTTTTCTGAATAGTCTATTGGAGATAAGAGTTTCATAGACTTTCTTACCTGAGCTGGCTTTGAACCAGCTCTAAGATCCTCAGATCTCAGCCTCCTGAGTAGCTAGGATTACAGGTGCCCAGCTTCTCCTTTGTTTTTGAAAGAGGGTTTTGCTCACTAACAAACCTAGAGTTTTGTTTAAAGTCTATAGGGTTTGTTGTACATATTATATCTGTGGCTGTGTAATTTTCATCAAATTTGGAAAAAGTATAGCCATTGTTTTTCTTTTGTATCTTCCTTCTATGACCCACATACCATGTTCTGCTTATTTTTGTTTTGTTTTTGTTTCAATTTGACTGTTTTCTGTTACCTTCTTTCTGTATTGTATAATCTGCCATTAATTCCAGTCAGTATATTTTTCATCTATGATATTATTGTTTTTATCTCTGCTAGTTCATCTTTAATTCATCTTCTGTTTTTCTGTATAACTTTTGGAAGAATGCAGTTGTAATAATGTGTTGGGTGTTATATTTCTAATTCTGGCTTGATTTCAGTTGATTCCTTTCCCTTTTCCCCTTTCCCCCAATTACGATATGTGTTCCAGCTTCTTTGCATGAATGCTATTTCTTGTTTTTACATTTGATATTTCTTACTCTGATAAGTACTCCTGAGGTTTGTTTTAGGATTCATTTGTTCAAACAATGTGGTCCTTTCTGGTCTTATTGTTAAAATTTGAATTATTTTCCGTATCAGAGATAAGACTTGTAATTTTTCCCTTTCATTGCCCTGTATCATTTTAACCTGTGGAAACAGTTCCTGTTCACCAGCATGTATGAGGCTGGGCAGTGTGTGTTGACAGGTAGTCATCTTAGTACTCCAGGTGGTAGCTGAAGATCTGTGAGGTTTTCTGTCCACACTGCTCTCCCCTCTCCAAAACGTTCCTGAGAATTCTAGCTCCCTCCATTATTTTTAAATTTTAGTCTCTTGGGTTCTTCCTGGGCTTCCTCTCTGTGTGTTTGCTCTGGAAACTGTCAAGATAATAAGTTGGGACAGTCACTAGTCTTAATTCATTTGCTTTCTATCCTTCAGGGATATTTATTTTTATCTTTTGCCTGATATATGATGTCTTGCAAATAATTATTTTGTATATTCTGTCTGAATGTTTTTGGAGTTGTTTGTACAGAAGAGTAAATGCAATCCTTGTTATTCTGTTTTGGTGGGAGTAGATATTGAGGCTAATCTACTCTCTTTCCCTTACTTGTCCTCAGTTTTTTTACATGCAGCCTAAACAGTTATCCCCTTTGAATCTGCTTACCCTTATTTTTCTCTTCCTACCCATTCTGTTCTTTTTCCTCCTCTTTCTTTCCCTCTCCTCCTTTCTCTTCTCCCTTTCCTCATCTTTTTCCCCTTCTTGCTCTTCTCTCACTCTTGGGTACTAGAGAGTGAGCCTTACGTGGCAAGTTCTGTACGACTTAATTTATGCCCCAGCCCTTTAAGATTATGTTTTGTCTTTGAAACAGGGTCTTGTATTAACTTTGCCTGGGCTGGCCTCACATGGAGATCCTCCTGTCTCTTCACTGTGAGTAGCTTGGATTACAGGTCTGTGTCACCACACTCAGGTTTGTCCTAATTTTCTGTTGCACCTAATGTTTTTTTTTTTTTTTTTTTTTTTACCGTGGACTACTTTTCTGATCTAAAATTATTTAATTAAATAGAGGAGGAAATAATTAGTCTTACAATTTTTGGAGGCCTAATTCAGGATACATTCTATTTGCGTATGGAAAGAAAGATGGAAGTTGTCATTAGCATTAATTTAAAATCTAAGCAGTTTGGAAATACAGGGGCAATATTTCAGCAGAATGCTTAGCAGTGTATAATCTTTTGGCTACAAAAGGTATTTGGTGGAAATGCTGTTTCAACTAATTAGTCTGCTTGGCTCTTACTCAAACTGAACATTTAGCTTGCATTTGCCTTAGATATAGTTGTGTTTGTACATTGTCTGTTAAATTTTCAGACTCATATTTAGGAAATGTGCTTTCTTGTTGCTGAAACGACTAAAACTTAGAATAATTTGAAGAAGTGGTGCTGTGGCTCAGTGGTAGAGCACTAATCTTGAACAGGATAATTTGAAGAGTTATTCTATATATGATCCTTGTTTCTATTAGTAGGAATTCTGTTTTCTTTCCTACTTTAAAACAACCAGAAATGTGTGCTCCTATTCTAAGGTTCTTAAACATAAATGCAGTACAACCTTTTGATTTGTTCTACTTAAGAAGATTCTATTCTAAGAATAGAATTGTCCTCTTTCTCCTCTTCTTTTACTGGAAAAGGATTAACAGTGGAATTTATTTTTTCTTTAAATTTATGAGAGACAAATGACTGAGAAACACTGATAGACTGCCCATATTTTCCTAGGAGTAACTTTCAAAATTACTGAAGGTCAGCTCTGTCTTCTTTCCTGGTAATCTATGTTATAACAAGGTGATGATTGATTTTCATAATGAAGCAGACTACTAAAATAATATAAAGCATTAAGGCTAAGGAACCAACAGAAGAAATGACCCTGAGTCACTGATGGTGAATAAAACCACTTTTTCAATCCCTAAAACGCTTCAGTTTTAAACTGTGGTTTTGGTAAAAGAGCACTGTGTTAATGGGGGGTGGGGGAAAGACTGAAATGAATTGAAGCTTAAAGTTACACTATTATTAGCATCACTGCTAAATACTCGGTGACTGAGAAAACTATGTGACTGAGATAACTATTGTTATCCACTATAACTTAAATGACCATTTAAGGGTAGTTTTATTAAGCTTAGTACATTAATGGCCTGTTTACTTAATCCTAATAAAAACTTTAGCAAGTAAATAGATTCTACATATGAGAATACTATTTCTAGAATATTGAGTGACACTCAGAATGTCAATCAACTATAGTATTAAAGAACGATTTAATTTTTTAATAAGGTTTTTATTGTGAAAATACCATACAGAGGGGTTACAATTACATGAGCAAGGTAATGAGTACATTTCTTTTTATTTATTTATTTTATTTTATTTGTGAACATACTGTACAGAGGGATGAGTACATTTCTTATCAAGCATTGTTGCCTCCTCCTTTGTTTTTCCCCTACCATCCTTGCCCTCCCATCTCTACAACTGCCCCCTCTGCCCCAGCCAAAGTTGTAAAGTTCGTTTTTCGACATAGCAACAGTTTAATTTTAAAACCATGATGTTCCTTCCATCTCTAAAGCTATGAACTATCATATGTGCTAACATAGTAAATTTCCAAATTGCTTTGAATCTGGCTCTAATTACTGTTACCATCCATCAGTTTTCCTACCTGAATTGCATTTTCACTGTATAAAAAACTTACATGTTTTACCAGACTTGTTGCACTAGTGACTGTCTTCTTTGTTTGAGATCTTAAAGCATTTATTATGTATTTTTCATTCACTTAGTAGTTATGCATTTGAGATATATGTTTTAAATTTAGAAGTTGGATGGCTCCTAAATTATTTAAATCTCTGGTTGTATATGTATTACTACCACACTTAGATTGGTAACCTACAAAGATACCTTCCTGGTCTTTTGGCAGTAACATACCTTTGTGTCTATAGTATAACTGAATAATGTATGAGTGAATGATTAGCTAGATTTTTAGCAATGAACATTCTTAGCTATTCACTTTTTTTTTGTTGTTGGTCGTGGGGTCTGAACTCTGGGCTTGGGTGCTGTCCCTCAGCTCTTCAGCCCAAGGCTAGCATTCTACCACTTGAGCCATAGCACCACTTCTGGCTTTTTTCTGCTTAAGTGGTGCTGAGGAATCAAACCCAGGGCCTCATCCATGCCAGGCAAGCACTCTACCGCTGAGCTACCTTCCCATCCCCAGTTAATCACTTCTCATGGGCAAATTTACTTTATGTTTTGTGAAATTTCAAATTCTGTGACATTTTATCCAGGAAAAAATGTTTTTCAGACTTTTAAATTATAACATTTGAAAGAATTATCAAAGTAAGTTAAAGTTTGCATAAAGATACATTTTTTTCTACAGAGAAACCAGTTACTTTGCCATAGAGCTGTTTTTTTTCTCTTTCTACATTTTTTCCCTGCAAATAAATCAGAAGAACATCTAAGGAATATTTAAAATATCTGTTTGCCCTACTACCACTACTTGGAAGTCAGCTGAACACCAGTAGCACACACTTATAATCTTAGCTATTCAATAGGAAGCTGAGAACTGAGGATCTTGGTTCAAAGCTAGCCTGGCAAACACATCTGAAAGATGTGTTAATCAGCAAAAAGCCAGAAGTGGAGATACAGCTTAAGTGGTAGATCATTGGGCATGAGCAGAAAAAAACAAGAATAGTGTGGACCTGATCAAGTCTCCCCATACCAGTACTGAAAAAAAAAAAGGCAACTTTTGACTGCCTGCCATCCGTGCATGCCTTTCATCCCATCCTGGTTTGAGGGTGAGGACTGAGGCTGAAGTATCAAAGGTTGAAACCACCCTGGGCTTGTATACATAGCAAGATCCTATCACAATATAACAAACTAACGAAACAAAAAAGTCAGTTAACTTTTCTGGGTTTTAATTTTCTCGTCCATCAAAAAAAAAAAGCTCAATCATTATTGTCTTTTGTAGGTACATTATTCCAGAATTTGCTAAATCATTAGGTTTGAGGTAAATTAGATTTCAGAATTGGGAAGTAGCATTTGAATTTTGTACTTAACACATTATATTAATCATTTTTCTTAAAAGTTCTTTGTGATTTTACTTTTATGCCTTTATGGTTAATTTTCTTTTCTTACTTATCAGTACTCCCTCACGTGTTGCTAAAGGAGGAATCGACCACACCAAGATGAGTCTACATGGTGCTAGTGGGGGACATGAGAGATCAAGAGATAGACGAAGGTCAAGTGACAGATCACGAGATTCATCTCATGAAAGAACAGAGTCTCAACTCACTCCTTGTATTAGAAATGTTACTTCTCCAACCCGACAGCACCATGTTGGTATGTACAGTTGGCTAACTTTACCAGCTCTTGAAAATACCATTTCCTGTTACAATGTGACAGTTTTTCTTAATCCTTCAGAGTAAAATTTGATTCTTCCTCATTTAGTTCTTTGTATTTTAACTGAACTTGATTCTTGCTGTGGAAAAAAAAACAAACAAACCACACAGCTTATTGAATACAACTTAAAGGTGTTTAATTTTTTTGTGGGTACCAATCCTTAGGCTTGAAGTTAGGGCCGTGATGTTGTTCTTGAGCTTTTTTGCTAGTAGCTATCGCTCTGCCATTTGAGCCACAGCTCCACTTTGAAGTGTTTTTGGTATTTTATTGGAGATTAGAGGCTTATGGATTTTCCTGCCCACATTAGCATCAAACTGCAATCTGCAGATCTCAGCCCCCAGTAGCTAGGAATATAGGTGTATATATAAATATATATGTATGTATAGTTTTATTATAAGATAGTTTATAGTAAGTTATTAAAATTCTTATTAATGCTTACAAAGTGAAAGAATACCACTATAGAATAAATTATTGATTCTCATTTTGCCACTGTTTCAGATTTTATAATAAAAATAGAAGAGAGAACTGTGAAGTGTTTTATTTTCTTAACAAGTAGCATAAGTCTTTTCTTTCCTCCCCACTCTATGCTGTAAACGAACATTATTACCCCAGTTGAACACATTGTGTGACTGTAAAGCATGAGTGAAGCAGATGTTTCTAAGCAGTATGAGTTTGCTGATTGTCATTTTCCTGTAGGGAAGGCACAAATTAAATACTTTGATGTAGGTCCTAGGGGTATAGTTTTAGTAGTAGAGTAAGTGCTTAACATATGAAACATTCAGATGGGCTCAATCCCTGGCACCTGAAAAGTAAAAAAGATAAAAATTAATTTGGGCCAGGTGTATAGCTCAGTAGCTGAACACCAGCTTACCATGTTCAAGTCTTTTATTCCCTAGAACATACAAAAAATAACTATATAAGATAGTTTCTGGTAGTTTGTAAATCAAAATCTTTAATATTAGGACATAATTATGTAAATTGATTTATTGGACAATATGTAAATAGATTATTTTAAGAAAGACTAATATTTATAAGCCAGAAATTAACAGAAATATAAATAAGAATTGACATTACATACAGTTTAGTGTCTGGAAAGCAGGATAGGGGAATATAAGACATTATTTTATTAGCTTAGCAAATTTACTTTGGGGATGCTACTAGCCATTGTGGGAGCAGGTGATAGAAAGGAGATGTCAGAGTAACTCTGTATGATATACAGAAAACCTAATTATATAATCAGTAATGTTATACAGAGTGTTCTAAGTAGCCTGAGTCATGAAAGAATTTGGCAAAGCTGATGAAATTGATGAGACAGAGGTACATTTTTAGGTCACCTTTAAAGTTTAGTAATCTAGCCTCTACATAAAAATGTATCACGAAATCTTGGTTTCCAAATTTCAATAATGATTTTTGCCTATAGAAGTTATACATGATAATTCCAGAGCTTGTAAAATTTGTAGAATCATTTTATTTAACAACAAAGAATAAGAATAGAACATATAAGCAGTTATTACTAAAACTACTTTGTATGGTAGATATTGAAATCGTCATGTCTTGAAGTAAGTAATTATTCTTCCGTTAGGATCTCCCTTTTGTGAGGTAAATTGTTGATTTTATTTTTTTTTATTTTTTTATTTTTTTGGTCAGTCATGGGGCTTGAACTCTGGGCCTGGGTGCTGTCCCTCTAGTGCTCTACCACTTGAGCCACAGCGCCACTTCCAGCTTTTTCTGCTTATGTGGTGCTGAGGAATTGAACCCAGGGCCTCATGCATGCAAGGCAAGCACTCTACCACTGAGCCAACTTCCCAGCCCAAATTGTTGATTTTAGAGTAACCTTATTAACATAGTGACTGTAGAGTTTATACTTTATGTTTCAGAGAAGTGTTAGTCTTTTTAGTAGTTAGGATAGTTAAGTTGCTGTTTTTATTTATTGTGATGGTCCATACTTACAATAGTAGCACTTAGAGGATGAGACAATAAGATCTTGAGTTCAAGGCCAGCGTGGAATCTGTCTCAAAAATAAAAAAAAATAAAAAATTGATAGTTTCATTAATCTTCTGTAAACTTTCACTGAATACACATTTGACTTGTGAGAATATTTTATTCCTTTGGTTTCTGTGTATTTTTCAGGAGAATAACAATATAAAAATTCAGTTGAAGTTTGATATTAGTAGAAGTCAATATTAGCTATCTATTTCTTTAAATTAGTCTATGAATAAGTCTGACACTGGTGACTCACACCTGTAATCCTGGCTATTCAGGAGGCTGAGATCTGAGGACATCAGTTTGAAGCCTGTCCAGGCAGAAAAGTCTGTGAGAATCTTATCTCCAATTATGAGCCAAAAAAAATCTGAAGTGGACCTGTGGCTTAAATGGTAGAATGCTAGCCTTGAGCAAAAAGTGCACAGGGACACACCCAGGCCCTGAGGTCAAGCCCCCCAGTATTGGTACACACAAAAAATGTCTGAAAATAAGATTTTATAAAGAATATTTTGATGTTTTAGATTTTACTGCTGGAAAATAAACTGCTTATTGTCTTTTTTGAAATAATAAAGCAGATATGCTGTTTTATTTAAAACAATTTTTCTAATTTAGACATTTTTTTAAACATGAATAGTTCTTGAATTTTTTAAAAGAAAATTTGTATAACTTTGTTTATATTTTTGTTCCAGAGCGAGAAAAAGATCATAGTTCTTCTCGTCCAAGTAGTCCTCGTCCTCAAAAAGCCTCCCCAAATGGTTCCATGAGCAGTGCTGGGAACAGCAGCAGAAACAGCAGTCAATCAAGTTCAGATGGCAGCTGCAAGACATCTGCAGAGATGGTATTTGTGTATGAAAATGCAAAAGAAGGAGCCCGGAGTATAAGAACGTCAGAACGTGTGACATTAATAGTGGATAACACGAGATTTGTTGTAGATCCATCCATTTTCACTGCACAACCTAATACAATGTTGGGCAGGTTGGTATTGCTGCTTTTTTTTTATGAACTGGAAGGTTCTTTTGAAACCACTGCTTTATTTATTTATTTATTTCAAATTATGTTTTGTAGTAGTTCTCTGTTGAAATATAGTATAGTGTTCCACTCTCTTTTCATGGATGAAAAACTGTTTTGGAGATTAAATTACTAGTTCAAGTTAATACAGCTAGAATATGGCAGAGATAAAGGTTGAACTTTATTTTGTTTCTAATGTTCTTTGCAGTAACTGTAGGAATAGGATACTAAACTGTAGGAATAGGATACTAAAGGATCTCTACAGATTGAGACCATAGATTGAATCTAGTATATTTCTTGAACGTTCCCAAATTCAGCTACCAGGCACAGAGAGAAGCAGCATTGTTTAAAGAGAAAGAATTTTTCTCCTGTGAAGTCAACATGAGTTGTCAGTTTGATGTAGATATTCTGAAAGAGAAAAAGAAGAGTGACATTAATATGTACACTTAAGATAAAAGAAAGGAATTAATAGTTCTGATTTGTGCTGGTACAGAGTAATAGATTAAAGTTGGTAGTTATGCAAACACAAGCTACGAAGCATACAGATAATATAGACTTGATTTTCAACATGTCCAAAATGAAGATCAGATAGTTCTTAAATCAGTATTGTTCTCTGCAATTAAAGTAGTTACATAAATGTAACAGAAGTTTTACATAAGGCAAAAACTTAGGATATTTTTTTCTAGTTTGCTTGCATGGTGACTATGTGAGTGCATAACCGTGTAGTGTGTGTATATATGATTTGTTAGTATGTTGGAATATACAATAAATGCTGAGATTGTGATTTTATACATTTGAGGAGCGAATAAAATTTTCTTTTAACATAGACACTTGACTTTACCTCTGAAAATGTATTTTTTTTTACTATAATGAGGGGGGGATTATTGATGGAAGCTATTAGAAAGATGACATTGTTAATTTATTTTTACATAAAATTCAAAGCAATAAAAAGTGATTTGAAATTTGCATCTGCTGTTTTTAAAATTTTTTTAAAGCATTGATATGGTCTGAAAAGAGTAGCTTTTGCTTTTTTCTTGAAAGTTCAAGTATTTGAGAAAAATTGCATGACATTTGATTCTTGAAAGACTATCTTCTCTTATTAAAATCAGTGAAAGCTTTCTTTTATGTTTGTTGACTAAAGAATATCTTTGGGGATGAAAATTAATATTCATTGGAAAACAGTGACATTCTTTTGGAAACTTTGAAATAAAAAAAGCTTTGTCCTTTGTGGATTTCTGTTACAACAAAAAAAAAAACATTGAAATTAGGAAACTATTGAAGAAAATACTTCGGACAACTGGACTTATTTTCCATATCACTGAATTCAGACCATGATTTTTAATTTTTCTTGAGTACTGCATCAGGCTTTTCAATTTCAAAGAACCTATTTTGTAAATTATCTCTTTCTAAATAATACTGTAAAAGAGTCAACAGTGTTACTTGAAAAATCATAAATGCACTTACCTTTTTCTTATATAAAAGTATTAAGAGCTTTCTACTCAATTCAACTTTCCATTCACTTCATCCTTGTTGGATAGAAAATCAAATTCTGACATTTGATTGTGGCCTTTTCAATTCCAGGATGCAAATTTATCATTTTGAGTAGGTTGTGAAACATAAAGAAGGCTAACTTGCCTGTCTCATCTTTTTTTCAGTTTACCTTGCTATATGTACTATTACAGCAATAACTTTGTGATGAAAACAGCAGTTTAAGGAAAAGGCAGATAACATGGTTCTCCCCTCACCCTCCCTTCCTCTCTCTGGAATAGAAATAACCCTTTACTCTTAAATGTTTTATTTATTTTTCTCCTGAGAAGAAGGAATTGGACATTTTTTTTAACTTCTAAGTATTTTCATTTGATTTTATCATTACAGAAAACCTATACTGCTGTTCCTACCTATCAAGAAACTTTAATTTTCTGTCTTTTTTTTTCTTTTTTTTTTTGGTCCATTGTGGAGCTTGAACTCAAGGTTGGGCACTGTCCCTGAGCTCTTTTGCTCAAGACTTGTACTTACTTTACCACTTTAAGCCACAGCTTCACTTCCAGTTTTTGAGTAGTTAATTGGAGATAAGAGTCTCACAGAGACTTTTCTGCCCCAGCTGCTTTGATCTTCAGATCTCAGCCTCCTGAGTAGCTAAGAGTACTGGTGGCATGAGCCAACAGTACCCAATTTAATGCTTTTTGATTTGTAATGTTTGTTAGGTTAAATTTCTGATAAGGACTCTGGAATTAAGTTAATGATATTCTTTTGTGTTTAATTCCTTTTCTATTTTGTGCATCAAACTGATTTTCCCTATTGAAATATTCTGTAATGCTTCTTAATTATTTGCTGCTATAGGATGTTTGGGTCTGGCCGAGAACATAACTTCACACGTCCCAATGAGAAGGGAGAGTATGAAGTGGCTGAGGGAATTGGTTCCACAGTGTTTCGAGCTATCCTGGTAAGTATGATTTGTTTTTGTTTTTGTTTTGTGTTGTGTGTGCAGGCCTGTACATCCTGGAGCTTGAACTGGGGCCTGGATGCTGCTTCTGAGCCCTTTAGTCTCAAGGCTACTGCTTTACGACCACTTGAGTTGCAGCTCTACTTGTGACTTTTTAAAATTTATTTTATTTTTATTTTTTGGGGGGGTCCAGTTATGGGGCCTGAACTCTGGGCCTGGGTGCTGTCCCTCAGCTCTTCAGCTCAAGGCTAGAGCTCTACCACTTGAGCCACAGCGCCACTTCCAGCTT